TTTGTTCGCGTCGAGAAGATTTTTCGTCCTCTCCAGTTGACTTTGGGTAGAGAATATCGTAACGTCGTGCAAGTTTTGAAAGTCGTTCCCAGCTGTATCTTTTTTGGAGGGAGTCTGAAATGTTCATCTAGCGCAGCTGGCATGTGACTGCTGCCAGAACGTCAACAAGTTTCCAAAATTGGACAAAGAAACGGGGAATACGGTATTCTTTGTCCATTCGAAAACTCGAATTGCGCGTACCCTTGACAAGGTCTTAACATTTGTTTGAGCTCTAAGTGTTAGTTCCGGGCACGAGGGTTGTAAAAGTGAAGTTGAGAAGCATAGCCCGTCCCGCAAGAGGTGTTTCGAGATGTTGTAAGTTCAGGTCGTTGCGTAGGGTACACCCAAGTGGGCAGTAGTGGTAGTAGTTGTCACAAAGTGTCGAATGTCGCAGTGTTGAAGTGTTTTGAGGCCTCCTAAGCTGATGCGATGTAAGGGACGTTTGAAATTTGTGGCTTCAAGTCTGTTCGTAGTATTATGTTGTGCGGCGTTGAGTGTGGTCCACAAATGAGCTCTAGTGGTAGTTTTGAACAAGTATGCTTTAGAAAAAAGGAAAAAAAAAACAAAAAAAAATCACAAAAGACAAAAAACAAAAATTAATGACGAGACAACCGTGTATAACTCCATTACACTTATATTTATTCGCTTCCTCGGCCGGTTGGCCACCCACCAAGAGTAGTTCATGCAGTGAATCCTTCATTTTCTTTGTTTTCTTTTTGCTTCACCCTCTTATGCTCAGAGTTGTAGTTCTTTAAGCTCAGCTGATTGCAAGCGTCCTTTTTGGAAGTATCCTATGTTTCAATCACACTTTTCCTCCACCTTTTAGTCATATTGTTTGCGAGCTTGAATTCGTCGATTAGTAGTGTTTATAACTGTCCGCTTTCGAACGATACCACGTGGAGCACCTGCGCGAGCATGATAAAGGCTCGCCGCTCTTTGTGCGCGCCTGGTGCATCCAAAGCAGAGCGCCTACACATACTTGGTAGCGTAGGGTGGAAATCTCACTTCAATCATGGGGTCGATTTTGAGTACTTTCTTTTCTTTGGGTGGCCGCTCAACCATATTGCCCCCGCGTCACATTGTTCGAGACCCTTATAATCTTTGAACTTTTATTACTCCATGGAATTCCATCATTTTCACATCTTTTTTCGATGTTTTCCTTTGAGTGGAATAGTTAGCCTTTTTCGCATGTTCACTGGTGATCTTTATGATCATCTCATCGCTCAGTTCGCCTAGCACATGTTGTTTTAATGACATTACATTCCTACCATACGTTCCTACGCCCGCTAAGTTTTGCTGTTCCTTGAGAGCTCGCATTCCCATCTCACTTCCGATCTCTCATCAGATGGCATATCTATCGCACAACATTCCCAGCTCATCTGGTTCTTGAATCGACAACATTACAATTATGAAGTTTCCGATTCCCCATACCATATTTGCTAATCGTCGATTTCCGATTTGAACTCCTAGCCTTTTCGGATCACAGTAGCCAGGATTCAGCCGATACCATCGCACGAATTCCCTTGACGTCTAATTGCTCTCATACTGTACCTGCAGTCGATGGTACTCCTCTTCCTCTCTCTACATGTTTATCATCCCAATACCGTACTTTATGATACACCTGCTTTCTTCGTAAAATTATTACTCAGGCAGTGACGTGCTCCGTTAATTTCCTAGGTTCGAGATTGGAAGATTTCGAGACACCGAAACATATTCCGTAGTCTCTTTAGAAAACTGCCAACTTATGACGCAACAATATCGGTGCGAATACGGTGACATGTCTCAAGCAGAAAGATATGGTCGACATCCAATGCCCTGGCCATTGACTGGCCGTCTGCCCCATTTGGCTGCTATACAGAAAGGACAGTTACAGTATCCTATTGCTTTCTGATACCAACTATGGTACATATGCGTCACGGTACCCGAATCTTCTGTGGGCAATCTTGCTAAATGCTCCCCTGAGGCAGGCCATTGCTTACTAAAAGACGGATCCATGCTATGGTGGACTCTTAACAAATAGGAGCTTTGCTGCTTCATCCCTGTGATGAAAATGAAAGGCCGAAAACCAAGTGAGGTATGGATTAGCAACTCCAAAGAGTTTGCCTTGACCTGGTGTGACTCTAGTACTCGAATCCAAGATTGCGATGCTCCACTCATCCTAACGGGCCACCACACCTGTCACCCGTATCCCTCGCTCGGCAGCCCCAGATATTGATCACATCAGATCGGCTGGCTACTCAACTTTTAGCCGTAGAGGGTTCGGTTCATTCGGCCGTTTCAGCGTTATTTCACCATGCCTTATCTGCCATTTGCGATCGCACTAACCTACTCGCATTTTCTCTTCACACCTCACTATCATCATACCCTACGCTTACGGTTCGCAACTTTTTAGGTTTGCCGTTTTTTTAGGCAAAACAATATTGCCGCTACTTTAGTCGGCAACGATTTAATCCAAATACATGGTTGCATGCCTATACCATTTCAAAATTTCCGTCTTATTCCAGTTAATGCGTCTTGTTTTTCTAAGCCACTGGTCGAAATTTCGCTGCCACGTGGTGCAATGTTCATTGTTTTATCGACCCGTCTACTTTGGTATTTTCTCTTTATGCAAGTTCAATCGCTTGTTCAAATGATTCGCCCTTTTATTTTGATAATGCTCAAGCGTACTACAAATTTGATGCTATTTCGGGCGATACTCAGAGGTAGCTCCTTCTTAGATTCGCCAAGAACACAGTTCCTTCAAAATTTAGCGAGCCTGTTGTTGCCCTCCCTCTTACCATTTTCCGCAATCTCATTCTCACCAATCTTAGTAAATTAGTACAAGACCATCAATGGAATGAGTCTTCAGTTTCGCCAGATTACCCTTTAAAGGCTTCATCAGTCGCCACTTCTACCGCTCATAATCCCCTCTTCATTCTCCTTGTTTCCTTTTCTTTCAGGTTTGTGGTCTGTAATCGATGTTCAGGTTTCTCTTTGTTCATCCTGTGTTTCGTTTGATCTAATTAGAACTATTATCATACTCTACTGTAATGTTCACTACCACGTGCGCGCATGAACGGCTCTCGAAAGGCCCGCTTTTCGAGAACAGTTCATGCGCGCACGTGCGTTGCGCACCCCGAGGGAACCTACGGTCTTACAGAGAGCTATTGCACTTGCGTCTTCTGTTGTAACTTGCCCCGTTCCTAATTGTACGAGCTTGGCTCAGGCGGAAATTGACGACACTGCCTCATGGCCTCGTCGCGCTTCTATAAATTCCGTCAACGTTCTGTAGTTATCGGACCGAGACCGCTTCTTTGTTGCTCAAATTCCCATTAAAGTGAACGGTATTCAAGTTCCTTCCTTAGTTGCTCCTATAACGATAACCTCGACTTCTACAGCACCAAGCAACTCTTTTCG